CACTGCTGGGGAGAGTGCAAACTGGTGCAGCCACTCTGGAAAACAGTATGGAGGTTCCTCAAAAAATTAAAAATAGAACTACCCTATGACCCAGCAATTACACTAGTAGGTATTTGTCCAAGGGATACAGGTGTGCTGTTTTGAAGGGGCACATGCATCCCAGTGTTTATAGCAGCGCTATCGACAATAGCCAACATGGAAGGAGCCCAAATGTCCATCAACTGATGAATGGATAAAGAAGATGTGGTATATATATGTACAATGGAATATTCCTCGGCAATCAAAAAGAATGAAATCTTGCCATTTGCAACAACGTGGATGGAGCTAGAGGGTATTATGCTAAGTGAAATAAGTCAGGCGGAGAAAGACAAATATATGACTTCACTCATATGTGGAATTTAAGATACAGAACAGATGAACAGAACGGAAGGGAAGCAAAAATAATGTAAAAAAGGGAGGGGGACAGAACGTGAAAGACTCTTAAATACAGAGAATAAATGGTTACTGGAGCGGTTGTAGCTGGAGGGATGGGTTAAATAGGCAAGGAACATTCAGGAGAACACTTGTTGGAATCAACACTGGGTGTTGTATGTAGGGGATGAATCACTGGATTCTACTCCTGAAGTCATTATTGCACTACATGCTAACTAACTTGGATGCAAATTTAAAAAATTACAAAATTTAAAAAAAGAGCTCTGTAAGGGCAAAATTGAAAACTTTTTGTTCTATCGCGATATTGTGTATTCTAGTCACTGTTCATGTTTCTTCAAATTTCATTTTTAAGTATTGAACTTTAGAGGGTGTTTGAGGGTTAAATAAAAAATATATGCCAAGTGCATAGAACAGTGTTCCTCCTATCATGAGCACTTGACAGATGTTCGCTGTTGTTATTTTTAAAGGTTTCATACAACAATCGTACTTTTTTCCAAGAGGCATTGAAGTTTACTTCAATTTTAATGTTCTGGGTTCCCTCATACCATTTGCCACGGTTTGTTTTGATTTAAAAGGGCCTCAAGTGCTTGATGGCATGCAAGGTTTATCATTAAGCATCTTTATTGCACTCGTGTTTGCAAAGAACATTTTTGCTTTCCATTAGCCTATCCAATCGCATTCCAAGATAGAGAACTCCCTGTCAGAGATAACGTCGAATAATGAAGAACATAAGTGCTTGGAGAAATGAGGTGACGACAATGTATTCCTCATTCTAACCTCTCTCTGGGTGCAGAAGGATGATCTTCTCTGGAACTTGGGCTTGTACATGTACACACGTGAGTGTGCGCGCACACACACGTATGTGTATGTACCTTTATGTGTCTTGTGCTCGATGCATTATTTTTGCTAAACTAGAGATAGCCAGTCAGGATTATTACTTAAGGTTTTAACTGAAGGACGGCAGTTTGCCAGCTCAGGAAAAGGAAATATTATATCCATTTAAAAGCTAGAATTCTGAGATAGAGTGGCTTGGAATACTTTAAGAGTTTTGCCTACTAGCCAATAGCTGAGGATCCCCAGTTTTAGTCTGCGGGAGGCAATTACCTTTTGTGACATGAACAAAATCATGAAAGATAATATACCTGATGGATTCTGTATGACTCAAGCAAGGGCTTAACCATATTCATAGGTCTGTTTTTTTTTTTTTTTTTTTAAACATAGGTCTGGGCTGTGAGGGTACTCTGAGTGGTGTAATGGGCAAGATAAATATAAAGCATGGACCAAACCATCGGTTTTGTCTTTGCCTTTTACAATTGCCCTCTGTTTATAGGAGCCTATTTGTGAGTCTGCCTTGGTCATCAGGCAAAATATCTTATTTCCTGGCTGTTTACAAAACCAAGGACCCAGGCTACAGGATATTTATACTGTCGTCTATCAAAGCGTTCACTGGGAGAGGAGATAAGAAAGTCTTTTGCCAAAAATACTGTGGCTTGCACATTACGGGTGCACGTAAGAAAGGTCACTGCATTACCAGGTCAAAAGCAAATGATTTTGTTCTCTTGAGCAAACGACACAACTCACTTAATTTCACCTTCTTCGGATGTGACGAACATGATTTTTGCTTTTTCGCTATGGTTCTTAGGCTATTGCGCAGTCACGTCTCAGGTTAAAAAGGGCTGAAGTGAAGGCTGAGTTAGATCCTCCTGATAATGTCAAGAAGAGTGTTTCCCCTTTTCCGGAGAACTGTGGAGTATATTTAGCCAGACAAGGATGAGGCTGTTGGGTGTGGAGGGCAGCAAAAATGGATGAGATTGTTCTAGGTAGGAAAGCGAAGAAGGGAAGGAGATGCCTGGGTGTGTTGGTGCGATAGTTTCTGTAGACCCGGTGTTACCCAAAGTAGCTTCAGGATGAAAGCCAGTCGTCCGTTCCACTAGACAGGACAGGAAGCTGAGGTCAGTGGGGGCTCTAGCCCCAACTGTCAGCTCCTGAGCCAGGTCAGCACCACCTCGACTCTGTTGTCTCTGCCCTGTGTCTTCAGGGCTACAGCAACATCATTCTACCTGTATTCTGAGTGAGATCAGGTGAATTGCCCAGAGCCCATGGATCCCAGTGACGTGTTAGCTACACTGACTTTGTGTCATTACTGCTTCTGGGGCTCCCGGAGTAGATTGAACAAGATTCCATGATTTCAAAGCCTTTAGTGTCTCTTGCCTTTGGCCCAGTCCCTTATCTGACCTACTTCCAATTTTTCACGTTCCAGTCTCCTGTTCCTTATATGAATCAGCGTCTTCTCCACATTGGCAGCCATATTCCCTGCTCCATTCTAACTATAAACAGCTAAGAGGCCTTTGCTCTCCTGTTCACATTTTCCTCAAAAGTCACCCAAAACATCCTGGAAGCAAAGTAGAAGTGTTTAAAAGCATTTTGCAATGAAAAACCAAGGGATGACTTATCTAAACATGGCCTATTTACCCCTTGATATATAGTTCTTGCTCCTGCCAGAGGGAAATTATGGGTGGGATTATGCCCAGACACACTTTGGCTTTTCTGTGTTTAGTGTTGTCCATGCTGTCAACTATTGTTTAAGCAAATGAAGACATGTGTCCTTGGGGAATGGTAATGGAGGCTTTGGTGACATTCACTTGACTGGAAACTTGCAGGTTACCTCTGTTCCTGTCCACGTATAGAATCTCAACCCTAGCCATGTTTGTCCAAAAGAAAAGATCGTTTTCACTGTGAGCTCCATGGGGAGAAAACATCTCTGTCTATTCATCCATGTATCCTAGGAGGAGAGAATGGAGTCTGTCCCAGTCTCGGTGCTCAATAACTCTGTTCATACAAATTCCTACTGGATGAAGTTATACTCCAGCAACATAGTTCAACAAATAGCGCAATATCAAATGGGTACAGCAGATGTGCCTATCAAAATACACAGAATTAATGGTCATTGTGTGCCTCGTGGGGCTTTGAATGGACATGAGCTGAGCACTGTAAATGTGTCTCAGAGTACAGAGTTAGGAACAGAGTGGACATACAATAGATCTTAAGGAATATCTCAAAATGAAGAGTAGTTGATAAAAGGAAAATTTATCTTTTAAATTATGTAAAGGTGAAATTGATAGAGTTCCCTGACACCAAGTGTTTTCTTAGGATCTTAATATTTTGTTATTCCAAACAAAGGGGAGGGGATTTAGACTAGGTAAAATCCCTTCCTAATCTAAAAAGTTATGGAATTCTGATCATAAATGATCAAAACTTATACAAAATAAAACTGAGGACTTTTCTCTCTTTTTGGAATGGACTTAGCCCTAGAACAAAGACTCTTAACCTTGCTGTACAGCCTTGTGTCTTTGAACTCCCTAAAACTGTGTGCAAACATTTTGTATGTGTGCATTTTTTCCCCCTGAGGAACGAGGACCAATAGTTTTCAGTAGGTTTCCAGAAAGGCTTGAGACCCCAAAAGCCTTATAAGCCGCTGGAGTCATATAATGTTTTAGATCGTCTGCTTATGAGCCTTGTCAGAACGCTTTCCAGCGGTCAGGCACTATGCTAAACATTGTGTATGTATTACCTAATTTGACCCTAACTTCGCAATACGGTTGCTCTTCTGAGAAGAAGTTCACTTTCTCAGAGTCTGACAGCCAACAAGTGGGGAAGCTGGGGTACCAACCCAGGCTGAACCAGGATGCGCTTTGGTTTATCGCATAGAGCTACCTTTGCTTTCAATAGACAGAACAGTTACCAAAAGGCAGAGCCCTTTCGTCCTTAACCATCACTTCCCCTTTAAATCATCTTTTATATCTGGATAGCAACTGCTTTCTAAGCATCTACAAGCTTCTCCACATGTGAGCAGCATACCTCTATGGAACCTTCTGAAGTCTTCTAAACACAGAGGCAACCCTCTCCAGACTGCTCCCTTGTTTTTTTTTTTTCCATTGTACAGCAAGGCTGCAGTAAACATCATTTTGTCTTAATTGTCTACTCTAGACTCAAGTCTGGCCACATGGCACAAATGGACAACCCATACATTTGGAGTGACTCCAAGGAATCCATCCCAAGCACTGAATGGTCCTGGCACTGTTCCAAAGTTTTACTAGCCTTTCCACAAATTGTGATTCCAGACACGTTTATACCTTGGTCCCCAGGATAATGGAAGCCACAAAAGAAACAAATTAAAATGTCAGCCCAGCTGGGCCCACAGTGTGGGCCAGCAATGACAATGGAACCCCTTGCCTCTTAGATCACCTAAGTGTAGCACATCTGTGCTTCCTGTAAAAGGGGATAACAAAATAATCCCGAGTCTTTCCTAGATGTTCCTTAACTCAGGATAAGTACAGCGTGCTACTTAAGAGCAGCTAGGATTTCAATAGGCAACAGGAAACATTTTTTTAAACCAGGTGAAAAGCAGAGAACAGAATTCTGGTAAGCGTTGTAAATTCAGCCACCACTGCTATCATGCGGGACCCAACGAACTTGAAATATATGATCAAGGCTAGAGAGACAAGTAAAATAGCATTGTTACTCTCTGCCTGAGGTTTGTTATTCTCAAACCTTCTCACTTACGGCAGGTTCTGAAGGACGCGGAGCAGGCCATGTTACTACAGACGAAGAAAAGAATGTCTACAGCGAAGGGGACACCTGAGAGGTCGCACGCTTAGTGGGATCATGGTAGAAGTTCAAAACATCAACGTGAGAAAAATCAGTGAAACTGAGGACTAAAGTCGGAAGTATGGGTGACGCAAGGAATTAAAGGGTTTGCGAATCAAGACATTGCTTATCTCCTCCCTTTCTCCTTTTTTATTCTTTATAGACACAGTGGCTGATAGGAGCTGCTCATCTCATTGAAAGTAAGCTGTTGTTTTCTGTGCTCTGAAGGTGGGGGATTGCAATATCCGCGATGTGACGTCCGTGAGTCTTTGCTAGGTTTGGAACTGATGGCCCCAAGCCAGGGGGTAGCGTTTCTTCTTCCCATACGCCAGGGAAACACTGAGATTCCTTCAGCAAAAATAACTTTTCTGCCAATCTGTATCACCGCTCAGAGAGGCAGCTGGTCACGTTAACCAAGAAAACTGATATTTAGTGGTGAAGAAGCTTGATTAAGCTTTCGCTTTATCTTTTTAGATTTTGATGTGATAATATGGGTATAGGTGATTTCCTCATGCTACTGGGCACCTGCTTGGCAATTGTTTTTGTTCCCGTTTGCCTGCTCCATGAGATTATTGGCTTCATGAGGACAGTTCTCCTCATCATTATATCCTCAATATTATAAACATTTTTTGAAGAGGTGAATAAAGAAAGTCAATGTTACAGGGGCGCCTGAGAGGCTCAGTCGGTTAAGCGTCGGACTCTTGGTTTCCTCTCAGGTCACAATCTCATGGTTTCATGAGTTCGAGCTCTGCGTCTGGCTCTGGGCTGACAACTGAGAGCCTGCTTGAGATTCTCTCTCTCCCCCTCTCTCTCTGCCCCTCCCCCACTCACGCTGTTGCTGTCTCTCTCAAAATAAATAAATAAACTTTAAAATAAATAAATTAAAAAAAAAAGTCAATATACAAAAGTCCTCTGGTCTAGTGAATTCTCACCAGGTGAGTAACATGTGCGTTGAATTGCTTGGGAGTTTTTAATAACCAGTGGTGGTCAACCAAATGTATATTATGTGCACATCAACTATTGAACGCAATTACACATTTTATGGTAGGAACAAAGAAAGATTTGGGCCGTGGTGGCTAACTGTGGTTTTTGTCTCCCTGCTCTTATTTTTCTGTTGGGTAACTCTTTTTTTTATTTTTTAAAAAAACATTTTTTTTTTTTTTTAATGTTTATTTCTGAGACAGAGAGCATGAGTGGGGGAGGGGCAGAGAGTGAGGGAGACACAGAATCCGAAGCAGGCTCCAGGCTCCGAGCTGTCAGCGCAGAGCCGGATGCGGGGCTCGAACTCACAAACCACGAGATCGTGACCTGAGCCGAAGTCAGTTGCTCAACTGACTGAGCCACCCAGGTGCCCCTCTGTTGGGTAACTCTTATGCTGTCTTGGTCTGAGAAATCGTCCTCTCCTTCACTCTCAGCCCTGTCCCCGTCCTTCTCCCTCAACTGCCCTGGGCCCAACATTGGCAGGTGATACTCTGTTCCACCAGAGAACTGCCTTCCTGGGGCCATGGGTTTTGTTCAGCCACCATCCCAGCTGGACCTGTCACAGGAGTGTGGAGCAGGAGGATGTCCCTCCCGTGCGTTGGGACAAGTGAGCTGGAGCTGTGGGGGACTTTGCACTGAAGCCAGCACAGGGGCAGTGGTCGTGGGAGGAAAAGAGGGGCGCCAGTGACACCGTCGGAGGCAATAAATCACCCACGACTTAATTTTTTTCTGTCATTTGTCACAAACATAACTCTTACTGGTCCAGAGACTTAGTCGCGTCACTTAAAAGAAAGAGATGGCTTAGATGGCTCCTAGAGTAGAGAGAGAGCAATTTGGTACCTCTTGGTCTTGTTAGGAAATTCATCATTTTATTGGACTGAGATCTGTGCCTTTGGTATAATGTTCAAGCTCCTGGAACGACAGATGACTCAGAACGCAGGTAATCTCTCTTCTAGTTGAGAGCTCCAGATGGAGAGAGATATTCTGACTCATTTGTTCATTCAATAAATATTTATTGAGCACCTACTAAACGCAGGCACATCTTCTCTCCACGCTTTCTGTTTAGGCCATTTCTTGAACTGTTTCTCATATCATGTGGGTTTTGGACCAATGCTGGTGTTCCTTTCTTAGGAGGGCTCCACTGTGGCAAAGGATCCCCCTTAAAATACGGCATTTGGAGCAGAGAATAGTAACACCCATTCATTCGTGTTCCACATTCTTTAAGTGCCAGCCATGTGCCAGACATAAATGGAACAGGGATAAATGAGACACAATTCTGTGCTCAGAGGACTCACTGACAGGAAGGAGACAGCTGTCCTGCAAATAATCTAGAATAGCACAAGGAGCTGCAGCAGAGCCCAAACGAGGCAGAGGCCAGTTCTCCTTGAGAGGGGAATCCTGGAAATGTTCCTCACACAGCATAAGAGTGTGGATTTCTTTCTTCCTTTCTTTCTTTCTCTTTCTTTCTTTCTTCCTTTCTTTCTTTCTTTCTTTCTTTCAAGTTTATTTATTGAGACAGCATGAGCGGGGGAGGGGCAGAGAGAGAGGAGGACAGAGGATCCGAAGCAGGCTCTGCACAGAGCCCGATGCCGGGCTCAAACCCAGGAAACCAGGAGATCATGACCTGAGCCAAAGTCAGGCACTCAACTGATTGAGCCACCCAAGAGTGTGGCTTTCTGACAGGCAGATGGAGCTGGAGACGGTATTCCAAGGGAAGTCAGTGGCCTGAGCAAAGGTACAGAGGGGTCAAATAGCCTAGTGATCTGCAAGGGCTTCGAGAGGGCAGGAGTCTGGGATGTAAGATGGTGATGCAGAAGAGGTAGGGCCCGAAAAGTAGGCAGGGTTAAGCCTTGAATGCCATACCCAGAAGCTTGTTTTGTCTGTTTGTTTGTTTTTCCTACAAGGTGGCAGGGAGTCTCTCAAGTTTTGAAAAGAAGGGGGGAAGCATGATTGGGTTCGCACTGCATAAAGACACTTTGAAGGTGTGCGGCCTAGGGGCTGGACCGCTAGGAACCCGAGGCGGGAAGACCCGGCTCGGTGGGACTAGATCATCTGAGTGATCTGGGAAGAAGAGGGTGTTGCATAGGCTGTGCTGCGGAACTTGCCTTCTCAAAGTGGATCAGAAGACCAGTAATGTCAGCATCGTCTGGAAGAAATGCAGGGTCTCGGGCCCCACCCCAGACCTCCTGAATCAGAATCTGCAGGTTAACAGGATCCCTGAGGCCATTCACAGGCACTAAAGTTTAAGAAACACTGGCCTGGGTACGTGGGATCCAGTGGCGAAGACACAGGACGGCCAATGCCCCTGCCCTCATGGAGTGCACACTGTAGCAGGGGAGGCAGATTTTCAACAATAATTCCCTGGCTAACGTTGAAAGAGGCCTGGAGAAAGTGCTAGCAAGGGGACGCATTGGGAGCTGGAAGAATGTACAATAGAGGGGTGGGGCCTGGGCTGCGGTTCAGGGACGGTTCCCTGAGCAAGTTCAAGCAATGTGCCATAGTGAACCGGGAGAAGCAGGTGGAAAACCTGTGGGTGAGGTGGGGCGAGGGTGGGGTGGGGAGGAGTCTCCTGTGCAGAGCCCAGCACTTTTTCTTGGCTTCGGAGGAACCGAAAAAGCTGGAACAGTGTGTGAACAAAAAGAACCCTGTCAAGTGGGACTGGAGGTGAGGCGGGCATCGAGTCAGACTTCTAAGTCTTGCAAAGGATTCTGATTTTGGTTATCAGCTTAAGAAACAGGAGGAGAAAGCCCAGGGCAGTATCAGGAAAGTTGTACGTAAGAGAAGAGTTTATAGCTTTCCCCGGTGGTTCTGACCACAACCCATTGTTTAGTGGAGCTTATTACTTGAGGCTTTTTCGCTTCTGACCCCGCTTAAGAAAGTCCTACAGAGCTCATACTCTGTGTTGGGCTCTATGGTAGGCAAAGGAGGGATATTAAAAATATTTAAGGTGTGATCCCTGCCCTTAAGGTTATTACGGTTTAATAATGACATTTTGTTTCGTTAAAGAAGCTTGTTAGTCAAACCAAGAAGAACTTCCAGTTCATCGTTCCCTATGTCTTCTCACATAGGCTGCTTCTGAGCCAGTTCTCTCTCCTCCTGTTTTTATGTATTTGGTTTTTTAATACAAATTTTTACATTTTTCTTGGTTTCAGGCCATCCTCCCAGGCTGCTAGATCTTTTCGAATCTTGCTTTTTAAGTCGTCAATTTACTAGCGCTCTCTCCCAACTTTATGCCATATGCAGATCTGATAAACATGTCTTCTTTTTGCTAATTTGAGATCCTACTTTTAAAATTGGGTGACAGGTCTCAGAGGGACCTTAAGCCCCCTAGCATGGCAGTATTTAGAGGTTCCGTTCTGGGTGATTATTGATTGATTAATCAATGCACGTTGGAGACCATATGGTACTGTTATCCTGGGAAGTGTCTCCCTGTCTTGTAGCCTGAGATAAGTGCAGTACTGATGGGAACCCAGGGTCCCTGTGAATCCCCACGTCACAGTACTTGTGACATTGTATTTTGCGTTTGCTGCCTACCTGACTGTCTGTATGGGGCGGCTGTTTTTCTCATTAGGGGATTCCGCACGCTGAGCACAGGTGCATTACATGTGGTGGACACTCAGTACACATTTGTTCAGGAACTTAGCCTGCGTGATTTTTCATAGGCTTGAAGAAATTGTACAGAACATCCCGGATATTTGAGACATTTCCAGGACAGAAATGTAAAGTTTAGTCCTTCAGACGTTTCCCAGGTCTCCATGATGATTGAGTAACGCGGGCTCACGTTCATTCCCCAGAGTTGGCGCCACAGCCTCATGCGCTTTGCTCTCCAGAGACGTTTTCTGATATTTTGTGAAAGTTGTTGGTCTCTGGAGTTTCTTCTACAGAGCCTGCAAGTGATGCAGTGAGACCAGGAGAAAAGAAATGCGCAACTCCTTCTATGTATCACCGATCCCCAGTTTCATCCACAGAGTACATCAAAAGGGCTGGATTTTGCCCCCAGGACTCTAATTAACAAACATACCAAATGTAATAAAAGCCCCGGTTTTATTTGGCAAAGCTCAGGAACAACAGCAAAAGTCCTTCTTTTTGATGTTAAGCTTCTAGATGTATTTGTAGTTTTTCGTCTTATCCCCGCATATTTC